TAGTTTACAGTAAGTAATTTTAACTTTAGTTTACAGTAAGTGTGCTGCATAAGAACTTATGGGTAATGTGTTTTTTAAGTTTAAATGAGTGTAATTAATTTATTCAATGAAAATACCAGGAAACTTGCCAGTTAGGCAACATTTGAACCTAATATGAGCATGGCGGCCAACAATTTAAGCGAGTCCGGCATATATGTGATAAAATGTGCTTTTGAGCATAAAAGCATGGAATATGCCATGTGGTTAGGGCATACCCTTAGAAACATTTAGTTTTTTATTAGAAACATTTAGTTTATTATTAGAAACATTTAGTTTTTTATTAGAAACATTTAGTTTATTATGCCAATTAAAGGTAACAAAGCTTATTTCATTACATACATTGCATACATTTTGTTCTATTGTTAAAATGTATGTATTATATATATGTATGAATATAAATATTTAAAAAAAGTATGTATTGACATTTTTAGAGCATTAGTGAATTTTAAACCGAGATATTGGTATACTTATTAATTTTTAAGGTCATTTAAAAAATACAAGAAGGCCGCCATACTGTAAGCCGATTTCATCAAGGCCACTATATGACATATATTCTACCGCACACGTGAACAATAGTTGATAATAAATTTACTAGTCTATGTTTTGCTTCCTTCTTGGGTGATATACGTAAACTTTTAAGTAGAAATAATCATTTTTGCCGCCATTTTGTAAAATGGCGGCCAAGGTCACTGTAGGACAAATCTGCGATGCCCCTATAGCCAAAAATATCTCTAAGAACATGTTCTAACTGTGTGCCAAATTTCATGCTCTTATCCAAAAAAGCAAAAAAATTTCACATATACCATACCGGACTATATATACCGGACTATATGGGATCGTTTGTTATTCTACTCCTGCTCTTATATACGTTATGCTGACCTAAATCTCAGCGATATAATCCAGATGTGACAAGCAAAACTATCAGGAGCTGTAAAAATTAAATATCGACGTCAAACGCACAAATGATAGTCCCCAACATATAACCCACGAGGAATGTAAAAAAATATTTATCATTGTTACCAAATAATGCACCCAGTGTGACTCCACTTCTCTCCCTAAGAAGTATTGATGAGTTGGCGGCCAGGTCCGGAGTTAATATGTCATCTACCGCAGCTGATTCTTACATGCACTCCGAAAACCCACGATAAATGGCGAATGCTGTTTTTTAGTAATCTGATCATTGGGATCAAAAGGGCAATGAAAGGATCAGTTATCAGTTATTGTAAACAATGTCTATACAATGTCAATGTATGTCAGTGCATGCCAAAGTCTATACAATGTCATTAACATTTATTTATATATTAAAACATACATCACGGTCATATTGGTTATAATTGCATTATAAAGGAGCATAAAGGAATTATTATTGGGTCATATATATGCGTTGACGGACTGTCTTTTAATTAATGTTAGCGATCCCAGACCATCGATATTACAATATATTAATAATGAAATGCATATAGTTTATATAGTTAGAGTATTGAGTATAGTTGCTCATGAACGTAACTTTTTACAGTGACTCCTAATTAATCAGGTAGATATTATATATCAGGAGTTAATAAAAACAAATATGTTATTATTTACTCCTGATAACTTTTAACTTTTAACTTGTTAACTTTTAACTTAATTCACTGTAAATGTTACGCACGTGAGTAAAATATATTTAATTCGATAGCACGTTTTAATTGTTGACATTTTTAATCATTTGAAAATAAAATTTATAGCTGGATCAAGAGAAAAACATGTTATGTATCTATATGACGAATTCACGCGTTCTCGATCTACAACAAACAGCAGTTCATTGCGATAACATGAGTGGACGGACTACGTATTTTATCATCTGCGGCACCCTAGTATGACGACGTCACTCTGACGCATCGATCACGCCACCATATACGGTTAGTGTGCTGTGCTTAGCCGCGTGCGTAAGCTTTCGTAATCACTTGAATTATTAATTTCCACCGAATAGCGCGCGCCGAATTCCCCATTGCTTCCCGATGAAGTGCTATACGAAGTATAGTGATTACAACCCAACCAAACAATTGTGCAATTACAAAATATCACGTGTACGCCTTCTCGCTCCACGGCAGTCAGTGCGCGCACACGTTCTCATTGCTACCGTTGCAATAATACGCGGGTTAGCGGCGTCACGCATGACAGGTAGCGCAGCGCATACCTGTCCTGCCACTCCCCCTGCGTACGGGGAATTTTCACGGCTGCGCATGCGCGTGATTGAATGCTAGAAGCGCAGATATTCCCTTCGCTTGCGGTCTCGGCTAACGTCCAAAGTTCGCCTGTTCGCACGTACGTGCACGTAGAAACGAAGTCACAGGTCGTGGCAACCAGCCAATCATTCCTTATCGTATCAACCTACCCCTGCCACGTTCGAGGATTATTGATTGATTCGCTTCGTACCTCGACCTCTGTCGTGTTACGGTTAGGAGGTGCTGCCGCCGTACAGGTAACAGTAAAGGAGGCATGGATTCCAGGGCTGAAGTCTAGACAGTATTTTTTTCCTAGATTTTTAAGCGGCACATCCCCCCAAAAAAGTCACACCACCCCCACAGTGGAGCCCGTTCAGGCGCTCGGAAGCACATGGGCGGGGGTGTTCTGGGGGCTTCAAAATTTCAAGGGTCCCCCTGGGACACAAAATTGAGCACGATTTGAGCACATATTTTTACAGCTCAAGGCAGCAATAGCTAAAAACCATATTGAAAGTTTTATTTCTGCATTTATGCCCTTGCGGCTCTTGCCATACCAGCAATTACGATGCACGAAATGATCAAGGCACCTTCCCGTCTTTTTCAGAGTTCAACAGCTAGTTTGTACATGTAAAATTTTTGATTTCCTTGCAGTCCTGTCATGAATCAGAAGAGAAAAAAAAACAGAAATCAAGAATATAGCCAATTCCATCAAATTGTTTTACTGTATTTTTTTGCGCAACCAATAAATGGACGCCCCCCTTTTGAAGGGCACTTGAAATCTCAGACCGTATTTCCCAATTACGGCAAATACCGGCTCTCGAATCCGCCCTGACCACTTCTGTATCGGAAGAGATGCACCCACGCACGCCTTCTTGGAATGCCAACTAAAGTTCGAGGGCGTGACGGTGTTTTATCAATTCTTTTATTTTTAGGTGATACTATATATTTGCCCGTGCGGCCGGTGGCTTCAGGGTGCACTGCTACTGGACTACGTGACACTTACTGCCATAGATACTACCCCCAAGGTGAGGGTATATCTACTGCCACTTATGGTTGACACCAGGGCCGGTTCAGGACTGAGCGCTAGACAGTATTTTTTCCAGGATGTTTATTTAAATGGCACATCGCCCAAAAAAGGGCACAACCACCCACAGTAGCCCGCAAGGAATTTCCGACACGGGCACTTTTTGGAAATCTTAGACCGTATCTTCCCCAATACGGGCCAAAATACGGTCTGAATCACGCCCCTAGTCGGTGGTCTAG